TCCCGTCCTCAGATGCTCAGGTGTCTAGACAGTCCCTTACCCCCAGTCCTTACCGGCAGAAGGGCCTATGAGCCGGAGGACAGGCCCAGCCACGGCCAGTCCACGCTGTGCCCTCCGCTCGAGCACAGAGCTGGCCCTGCCTGCCTGGGGAGGCCCTGTCTCACACTGACAGCCCCATGGCTCCCCGTGCTCGGGGATAGCAAGTGCCTGGCCACATAAAGGGTCGAAGGAGAGACTTGGGCAGATAGCACAGCCCCACGGATGTGGCCCGGATGCCTTCAGCAAAGGACAGCCAGATCTGGTGAACTCCAAATAGAAGCTCCAAGTTAAACCCTCTGGCCCGCTGACCGGCTCTGAGGGCCATAGCCCAGGCACACTCCACCGTGGCCCCGTGTGGTGGCCAGGATTGGCTTTGGCAGAGCTGAGGGGTCTGTGATGGCCTGAGAGGGTGTGGTGGCACGCCTGGACTCTGGACGCCGGGGCCTTCGTGGCGGCCCGGCTGCTTGGCAGCGCCTCTGGGCGAAGCGGCCGGCTCCTGAGCACCAGTGGGGTGCCCGGCCTGGTGCTCAGCCCTCTGTGTGCGTTTTCCCTTCTGTCCTCCAGCAGCCCCGAGTGGCAGGAGCCGTTATCCCCGTTCCTTCTGTGGACAGGGAAACTGAGGCTCAGAGAGCTGCCACAGCCCAGGGCCAGGTGGCCCCTTGGACACAAGGCCGATGCCGACCCCTGGCGGCTCAGCCTTTCCGGGCATGGTTGGAACAGGCTCGCTCCGAGGCCAGGGGTCCAGGGAGCGGTCAGGGTGGGGTGGGGGGCCCTGGGCCTCGCCTCCCCCCCTTCCATCCCCGGGGAGCACGCCGGGTGCTGGCCGCCGCCGCCTGCTCCTCCTCGGCCGGCCCGGGGAACAATGCGGCCTCTATGCCCGCAGCGGGCCCGGGCCGCCTGGACTCGGGAGCAACATGGCGCCCAGGGCCGCGCCGCCTGGCCACGGGGAGGGCTGGCGCCTGGGCCGCGCCTGGGCCGGGCCGGCTCCCCCGTCCTCCTCGGGCCAGCCACTGAGTGGCCAGCAGCGCCTGCTGCCTCCTCCCTCTCCCACTCGGGCGCCCCCCCCCCCCGCCGCCCCCGCCTGGTGGTGGGTTCGGGGGTCCGGCCCACCCGCCTCTGCCACGTCTGCCATCCTCCCGGCACCCAGGAGCATCTTTCAAAAATTCCCGGTGGGCGGGGCCGAGCCGCAGCGGCCGCCTCTGGCCCCCCCTCCCCGGGCAGCCAGTGCCAGATGAGAGCAGGAGACAAAAGTAGCATTTTCCTCGTCCTCCTGGGCTGGAGCAGAGCCTCCCCCAGCACCACTTGGCTCCTGGCAGCCCTGCCTCCGGGTGCCGGGGTGGCCGAGGCCCAGGCCGCGCCGGCCAGGACAGAGGGGACCGATGGACAAGGGTGGCTGGAGAGCAGGACGCCCGAGGGCCCGTCGGACCGGGGCTGGCACCTGGGGACGGCCTGCTGGCCGGCGGGACCTGTCCTCCTCCTCCTGCCACCCTGCCCGGCCGGGCCAGGAGGCACCCTTTCCACTTCCTTGCTCTGGAGAAAGCTCCTCACGTCCTCCCGCACCTTGGGTAAGTCACCTTCTTCCCTTCTCTTGTGCTGGAGACAAGCCGAGGGCTCTGCCATCTTGTGCTCGATGCCTGTTACGTTTCCTTCCCTCTAATTGGTTATCCAAAATTCAAAATTCTATTTCCGACCCCCCCCATCTTCAGTGAAGTAAGCCTTTCCAAAAACTGCAGGGAAAATGCAGAAGCCAAGCCCATTTATTTTTAAGATCCAAAGCTATAGGCTTTGGGAATCACAATAAAAATGAATGTTTGTTATTTCACAGTAGCTGTGTGTTCAATTAGATCCGAATGAACATTTCAGGGGGTATTACGAGGCACGGCCTGCTCGTTTCTGCTCAGGACAGTTTGTCGTGCGGGGGGGGGGATCTCATCATCATCATCATCATCATCATCATTATTATTTTAATTTTTGGTGGTGCCAGGGGGGGCAGAGGGAAAAACACCAGCGTGCCCATGCTCCTCCCAGCAAACTCCTCGGCAAGCAGGGCTGGGCTGGCACACGGGAGGGGTAGGTTCTGCATTGAGAAACAGAGGCCTTTTTATTTTATCCGGCGTCTTTAATGCTGCCATGTCCACAGTTTAGGGATCCAGTTCTTTTCTCCCTTTCGTTTTATTTTATTTTGGGGGGGGGGATGTGCGGGTGTCGGGAGAAAAAAGAAGGCTCTTTTTGGCTCTCAGCTCAGTATGGGGAAAATCTTTTAGGTTGTTTTGTGCTCTGTTTTTTAAACACTTACTTAAGCCCGGGGATTCCGCCTAATGGTGCCATGTCCAGCTCATAACTGCCCTACCCACAGATGGTACATGGGGTCCACGTGGACATGACCACCAGACGGACCCTCAGGGGGCCTGAGTTGTCCAGGGCCGGCCTGTGCTGGATCCCGTCCTGGTTTCCCATCTGCAGAACTGTGGGCCGAGACGTTCGACCGTCCATGGCCTGAACCGTAGCCAACAGGGGTGGGACTCCCTCGAAGACCTTTGCTTCCCCAGGCCAAGCTGCCGTCGCAGCCCAAAAGCTACCCTCCACGGTTACCTGAGCTGCTGTGATGGTCCCTGACCCTTCAGAATGGCTGAACCTTTTCAGATAAAAGGTGGGCTTTGCAGAGTTGAGTTCCGACTTACCTCCGTCCCCTGGCACACTGACAAAAACGCCTACAGATGCGGCCTGGTTTTTTCCCCACAGTGGAGGGTAGCCAGGGTCTCGATTTATGGAAAATGGAAAATCAGGCCCAGAAAGTTCTAAATGGCAACAGAGAGGAAAATTCCCACGTAAATACATCTTTGTTTTCCTAATTCGGAGGCGTCGGGTCCTGTCTCTGTGGGTCTGAGCAGCCGGCCTGGGCAGATACCACCAAGCATAAAAGTGAGCTCAGCTCTCACAAGGACGACCACGGCTGCTTTTGTTCTTGCACTAGACAGCAGTCCATACTGGGGGTGCGGGCGTATATAGCAGAGATGATTAAAACATTTTCATGATTGTGACAGCCACATTCTGCTGCTGCGAGCTGGAGGGTGGTCCTGCCCAAATATTTAGCAAGCACCGAATAGAACACTGGTGAGAAAGTAGAAGTAATGGGAAAAAGACAGAGCGCCATAAATTCGAAAGGAAAAGAGTCCAGAGTCTAGAGGGGTGGGTTTTGGGGGAAAGGAGGGTCTCTTGTGGTTTTTTTTTTTTTTAAAGAATTTGTGCTCTTCATAGCTGCCCATGCCTCATCTCCAAAAATTTTATTTTTTTTGGTATAATTAGTTAGGTAAATAGACCTTTTAATCCTAAATCCTGGAATGATAGTCACGTTTCCCGAGCATGACCTCGTGCTCTTTTTGGAGGTAAGGGCAAGCAGCATAAAATCAATTAATTTCCATAAATGAGCATTTTCATTCTAAATTAGTATTTTCCGCCGAGATTATGATCATCTAATGGGAGTAGTGTCTCTGGATACCACATTTCCCAGCACACACCTTATAGAGCCGGGATGGCTGTATGTGACTGATTTCCGTGTTTGTTTTGTAACTTGGGCAATGACATTCTGCCTCCCCACAAAATCAGGAAAATGCCCTGCAATCTTTTGTGTTCTGAATCAGGCAAAATATCAGCGTTCTCCATGGCACTCCATACTTCTCGGCAGGTCGTTTTTGGGGTTATTTTTGGGTTTTTTTTTTTTTTTTTTTTTTTTGGTTTTCTTGTTTTTTGTTTTTTTAAGAATGTACCACGCATAGCAGTTTTCACATCATTGCTTCTATATAAATTCCACTATACACCGAAATTATACATTCTCACAGCACAGATGGGCTGGTCTGTCATTACGACTGCTGGGTCCTTGTTGGAACACACAGCATATTTCAATTGTGGAGTCGACAATTTCGAAGAACTGAGGTCAAAATAAACAAGTGGCGTTTGTGCATAAAAACAGTCCTGTGATCCTCTCGCCCCCTGACCAGCGCGGTAGAGGAACCGCCATCACCTTCATTAGATTAGAATTTAATCGTCGGTCTTCGTCTTTCCGCTTTAAGACCCCGAATGCCCTGTGTCAAAGGACCTTAAGTGTTTTAACCAAGGCCCAGTTTTTGTGTTGTTTGGCAGCATGGACAGCGTTAACACTAGATTCAAATTCAAAATTACGGGGTTTGGGACTTTAGATTTTGAGATCTTCATTACATCTCTAGCTGTTTTGTATAGGGTTACATAAAATTATTCTGAGTTATTTATGAAAAACCGATGACAGATTTTTCGAGTGGTTTAAAGGTACATTTAAATCCCCCACACGGCAAAGCACACATACGTGCACACACACACATTCAACAGGTAACTACGAAGAGAAGCTGTAAACTTAAAAAAAAAAAAAAAAAAGAATTATCTCACCGAGATAACAGGGTGCAGAACTTATTGGCCCTCATCACACGTGAGGATAGGAAGTTTTACAAGCACAAATAATTTGCACACGATAACTGTTTGTTTTGTGAATTTGCTCACATTATGATGTAATCTGTGCCAAGGGTTCTTCCCTGGCCCCCGCCTCACTTTTAAGGGATTGCTTCTGCTTTTTCCCGAATTCTGGATCCCGGCTCTGCCCTTCCCAGCCTCTGAGGCCGCCTGCCCTCGCCGTGGACGTGGCCGGGAGCTCACACCCGGGCTTGTGGCTGAACGGGAACGAGACACAGATGTTTCCCTCTGTGGTCTCCTGCGGGCTCCCAGATCTCCTTCCATTTGTTAATAGAAGGGCTTTGTTGCGGCGTGTTTGTTTGAAGGCAGGTACCTGTTGGTGCAGATGTTTGGAAATAACAGGAAGGGCGACAAGTTGATGAAATTTGCCGGAGCTCCTGGGGAGCCGCTTTCTCTAGCGGTTCTGCTCTTGGATTTTTTTTTTTTTTAACCACTTCCTCCTTTCCCGTTTGGTCTTCCAGCCTCTCGACCCGGGTCTTGGCATCAGACCTGTACTCACGAGCAGCCCCGGGAACACGGCGCCGGGCTGGGTGCTCCCGCAGGAGTGGGCAAGGTGAACCCCGCGCCTTGCTTGTTCGGCAAAGCCAAGGGCAGAAGAGCAGGACCTCCGGGACCGAGGCCAGGGGTCAGTCGGAGTCGGTGTTAGTTCCCGGCCGTGTCCGTCAAAGGCAAGTCATCGCACCTCTCCGTGTCCCCGTTTCCTCATCTGTGAAACGGGGACAGTAAGCGTCCCCACCTCATAGTCATGCACGGAATGCACTTACCCCAGCGCTCCGTTCCCAGAGAGCACCCCATACCCGCTGTTCGTTCTTGGTTGGTTTCTGAGTCTCAGAAATGCCTGCCAGGCGGGGGTTAACGCCGGCTGTGTTGGGCCAGGGGAGGCCCCCGGCCTGAAGCCGAGGCCCCAGACTCAGCCGGCTGGCGACGGTCAGGATGGGGGTCGGACCTGGGCCTGCCGTCCGCCAAAGCCCACCTTCATTCTGCACGTCCACATGGTGTCCAGGTGTGGATGGTGCACCTTTGCCCAGGCGTGGGCTCCACGGTGTGCGCACACGGGTAGTGCCCTCTGCTCTGCCTGGTACGTCGGGGGTTTCCAGAGGTGGACGGGCATTTGGAGGCACCGTGCCTGCCTGGGGCAGGCACTCTTCCTGGCTTCTCAGTGAGTCATGGAGCCCCTGGGCCATCCCTGGGGACACCTGCTGGGCACCCCACTGCCCCCGTCATGGGTCCTCTTCCCCAGCCCAGGGCCAGCCAGAGCAGGCTGGACAGGGCCCCTAGCTGCTGGGCTCCCGGGAGGTGAAGGAAGGCCTGCTGGCCAGCTTGGCTGCACGCTGGGAGCCGGCCAGGCGCAGAGCGTCCCCTCAGAGGGCCGGGCTGTTCCAGGCACCGGCCATTTACAGCCGCTGAGGAGTGGAAGTGAGCCTCTAGGCCCGGGAGAGGAAATGGCGGTGCGGGCAGGCCCAGAACGGGATCCGGGAAGGTGGCCGAGGGCAGGGAGCGGCCAGAAGGCACAGGGTGGGCCGCTGGGTGCGCTGGCGGCTGTGCTGCGAGGAGCGGCCCGCGGGGCCAGTCTTCCCCGGGCGGGTCCGCGCGCTTGCACGTGCATGTGCACCTGCGTGCAAGGCCCCGAGAAGCTTCCGCGGCCCCGCTTGCTCATCAGTAACGGGGGGGAGTCTGGGGGCAGTCCAAGGAGGCCCTGGGAACGCCCAGCACACCTTTGGACAAAAAAAAGGAGCTTTGAGGAGAATGATATTTACTGCGGGTCTTAGTTCTGTGTCTTCAAAGCTCGGGAAACGGTCCAACACATCAGATGGGAGCCTGTTTGGGAGGCCCCAGGGGGCTTGTGTGTCCCCTCTTTGGGGCCTCTTAGCAGAGAACAGAGGCCTGGACTCTCCAAGGAGCTGCCTGCCCATCCCTGCCTCAGTTTCCCTGTCCATAAAGCATGGGGATCAGTCCTGCCCACAGGTTTCTCGTGGCCTCCAAGGTGATGAGGTCACTCACCACTGATCCCCCTTAAAGGGGAGCAGTTGTTGGTGGCTCCCCAGGACTCTGGCTTCTGAGTTTCTTGAGGGGCTAGAAGGGAGGTTGAGGCCAGACCTTTTGAAGGGAGCAGCCGGTGCGGGGCTGGGCGGTGGAGGCCAGGCTGCTCCAGCATGTGCTGGGGAACCTCTGGCCCAGTTTCCTGGGAGCCCAGCCCTGCCCCGGGATTCCTGCAGTGGGTGTGCCCGCACTTCCGGCCGGCGTGGGCGGAGGGGTCCCGCCGCGGCGGAGTTCCCGCCGTTCCCGCCCACCAGAGCCTCTTGGGTGTGTAGCTGCTTCTGGCTCGATGGGACGAGGACTCCCACCTGAGCGTGGCACGTGGGGTCCAGGCAGGTGGCCCCCGGCCCGCCGGCCGCGCACGGGCCTGGGGGACATGGCAGCGGTGGCCGCAGCAGCAGGGGTAGAGGAGGCGCCCTCCAGCTGGAGCCTTTGCGGTGACGATCACCCAAAGGGTAAGTCGCCTGATGCCAGGACCTTTGGAGGCTCCCAGCACCGGTGGGTGGGTCTCTAGGGTCTCAGGCCTCAGCCCTGGGTGCTCTAGCGCCGGAGGTGAGCCCTGTACCCCAAGATGCAGTCACGCGGGCAGCCCGTTGGCAGCCTGGCCTGTGTGACAATGCCGGCGGCGGCTCTGGGAGGTGGCTTCCAGGTGGGCGCTCCTGAGCCGGGTGGCATGGCAGGCCACCACAGCCTTAGCGGACACCCCAGGGGAAGGGTATGGCCGCTACCTCGAGTGTCCCGCTGCCAGGGGAAGAGTAGGTAAGACAGGCTCAGGCAGGACCCATGAAGGGACCCAGAGAGGCAGAAACCCCTGCCTCAGCCCAGCGGGGAATTGGGGGCCGCGCTTCGCTCCCCCAAGGGAGGATCAGCGCTTGTCAGATGTTACACACAGGACCCGGTTCCTTGGGGTTGGAGCAGCCGTCCTTTGTTGACCTACTATGTGCCAGGCTCAGGGCCGGGTACTTCGATCCTACTTATTTATTTATCTTTAAGATTTTATTTATTTATTTATTTGAAAGATAGAACACAAGCAGGGGAGCAGCAGGAAGAGGGAGAAGCAGGCTCTCTGCTGAGCGGGGAGCCTGATGCAGGGCTCCATCCCAGGACCCTGGGATCATGACCTGAGTGAAGGCAGATGCTTCATGGAGTGAGCCGCCCAGGTGGCCCCCCCTCCTTTTTTTAAACGTCCATTTGAGAGTGCAGGCGACCTGTTGCGCTTCCTTCTGACATCCCGTCAGAGCCCCTGTGTTCTGGCGCTGCTCCGGATGCTGGGATATGGTGCAGACGGGATGTCCCCAGGCCCGGCCTGCGTGGAAGGTGTTAGCAGTTTTCAGTGTGAGAGAACCGAGGCTCCAAGAGGGCAAGGAGTGTCCCCAGAGTCACATAGCAAGTGAGTAACAGAGCCCACACCCAGACCAGGTTTCTGACCACAGGACCTGCTCTTTCCCCACACTGGGCAGAAACGGCTGGATGCCGGACCCCTTTTCTTCGTTTATCTGTCCTAGATGCTGACCTTGGTGGGTTCTCCCCAGACACTCGGTGCCAGGAGGGCCCTGTCCTTTGGGCTGGAGTTCTTCCGTCCCCAGGAAGAGCCAGGATGGCCTGCCTCACTTCCCCCACAAGGGCCATGTCGTGTTGTTTCTGGGGTCCCAAGGACCTGTCTCTGGCTGGGTTGCCGTGACCTCAGCACCTGAGGCCTGCTGGTTGGGCCCGTAAAGCCCCTGGTGCCCTGCTGGGGTAAGGGCTTCAGGCCCGTGTGGCTCAGGGTGCTGGCTGGTGGCTAACAGTGCAGTATGGCATTGGGCTGTGGGAATGGGTGGCCCAGGGGGTCATCACCACTCTCGCTGTTCTTCTGGCCCATGGCAGGTGATCTGCAGGGTTTATCACTCAAACACTGAGAATAACGGCCTCTGGGGGACACTGTAAAAACCTGGAACAGGCAAGACCATTTTGCAGCCTTTGATGTTCTCAAAATGGCCCTTTCTGCTTTGTGCCCAATTCGTACCCTTCCATGGTGCCAGGAACTTGCCGCGGAGGATGAGCCCAGGGTTTGGGTAGGTTCTTCACGTGGAGGCTGGTTGTATCTGATGGGCCTGGACCCCTTTCTCATGGAGACACTCGTACTTTGTGCTGAGGTGGACAGAGTGGACTGGTCAGGCGTCCGGGGCCATTGGCACCTGTGAGGTCTGCTCTGAGGCGAGGGTCTCAGCTAGAGGGGGGATCCGTCAGCCCGGGCAGGACAGAGGTGCTGGGGTACCATGTAGAGGTCAGGGTAAATGTGTTTGAAAGTAGCTCTCTGCGGGTGAGCGGGGCCATGTCCTGTTGGAGAAACCGTGCCCTATGTGTCCACAGGGTCCCGTCTCTGGCCCTCGTGTCCCAGCATTGCTCAGAGCTCATCTGACTCTCGAGGGCACCCCTCCGGAGGGGCTGGGGGGCCTAATCTGGGCGGGCCCTGGCTTGGGGTCCGGGAGGAGATGGGCAGCTCTATCCAGTGACTGGATCAAGCAGACCTTCTTGGGCACTGGGTCCTCTGCTAGAGGGCTAGAGCCGTGACCGGCAGTGGTGTCGTTCCCCCACTCGCAGGCCCGGGGACCTCACGTAGCGGATGGGGCGGCCTCGAGGAGGCCCGGCCCCAGGCCTGGCGGTGCTGGATGGGGAGCAGAAGGTCAGCCAGGAGCACCCAGCGCCGGCCTGAGGAATCCAGGAAGCCTCCCGGAGGTGGCGGACCCACAGCCCCGGGCTTGTTGTTGCATTCAGCCCGGGGCCTGCCACGTCCCAGGGCCCTGCTGCCGGGCACAGCGCCGCCCCTCCTGCCGCCCCACGCCAGCCCTGCACAGGCCACATCTGCCGGCGGCAGGCGCGCCAGAGCTCCGCCTCCCGGCTCCGTCCCCATGGAAACCACTGGGGGGTGGTTCCTGCTGCACTTGGCCCGCTGACTGGTTTCCATTAGAGCCAGCCTGCTTTCCTTGAGCTCTGCTCCCGAAGTTCAAGGCACACAACACCCCCAAACCGAGGTTTCTTTCCCATGTACTGAGCACCAGTGTTAGGCCATGGGACCGGGACGGCGTGGGTGGAGTGAGGGCCCAATGTCGCGCCGCGGGCCATGACTGCCCTTCTCTGGGCTTCGCCGTGGGCTCAGACCCTGTCCTTTCTTGCTCAGAACCAGCAGCTGCTACAGGGACCCCCGGCTCCATGCTGGCTGGCCATAGAATTATGGGGTGGGGGACTTTCAGTAGACCCTTCCTCTTTCTGGGCCTCAGTTTACCCATCTGTAGAATGAGAGGGTTGAACGGCTTCTCCAGGTGCTTGCCGTGCCAAACAGGACGATGGAACAACACAGAAATGCCGCTGAGGCAAAGCCATCTCTCTCTGGGACTTTTGTTTGTTTTCAGAGAGGGGATTTTTTTTTTTTTTTTTTTTTTTAAAGGAGAGGAGTCATGGAATTTGACTGGAATGGCTGTTGGAGAGCCAGTTGGAGCCCGTGGACCCAGGGCTTGGGAAGGCCTGGGCAGCCATGCCCGCAGGCTCCGCCTGGCATCTGGGGGGGGGGGGGGCGGCGCCCAGTGACCT